CAAGTAAACCAGAATTGAACAAATGTTGTAACACATTAGAATTGGGATGTCCCAATTTCTTATGCCAATTAAATATATCTAAAGTAGCATAATCACAAAAAATGGGAAAAAAACGAAACACGCTTCGGTGAAACAGGAAAGAGACGCCCCTTCTTAGGCCCCCCTCATGGTCGTCCTCCCGGACACCTGATCCTGTACATGACATCTAGAGGAAGAAAAAGATACAGTGCAATCGTTATCAACAAGTTGGCCAACAGATATAAGATTAGTGGATAAATCAGGAGAGGCTAAAACATTAGCCAAATCTGGTAATATATCACCCACAACTGAGATACGAAGTGTGTTACCGTTAGCAGTGTGTATTTTGAGAGGTCCATTATATGGTCTAAGATTACTAAGCAACTTAGGATCACAAGTCATATGATTAGAATCACTTGAGTCTAATAACCAAGAAGAACGAGCAGTTGGTGGATTACCTGAGATACCTAAAGCAGAGACAACCATCTATTGAATCATCTTAGGAGTGATCGGAGTCTGAGAGGACTAGGAGAAGCTGGAACTCGAGTGGGAGCAGACGGCAAAGCAGAACTAGAGGTTAAAGTGGCAGCAGCAACATAACTTGATCTAATCTTGCGGAAGGACGAGTATGATACTCTTTAATAATATGACCTAGTTTCTTGCAATATTTGCATACTTTTCTAGGACACTGAAGGGCCCTGTGACCAAATCCCTTACAGCTGTAACACTGCACACTAGACATATCCCGATGTTTGAATTTTCCTTAAGTTGCATAAGCAACAGGAACCGATGCTGCGTAAGTTTGTTGTTGTTCCAAAGAGTTACGAGTTATAAGCCGTTCCTCCCTTAGTAATTTACCCAAACAGCTATCCAGTGTTGGAATAGACTCGCGATTCATAAGGCTGGATATGACAGATTCAAATTCAGTTCTCAATTTCATGAGAAATTGATCCCTCTTGGTGACTTCGTGTACAACTTGTACAGCCTCCAAACTATGTGGTGAAATCGAAGCATAGATGATATCTGTGTACTTAACCCAAATGTTAGAAAACCCATAATAATATTCTTCAATGGAGCGAGATTCCTGAGAATAATTTGACTGGTCAAACTCCAATTGGAGTCACCGAGCATTGTTATTTTGAGTAT